GCCTAGTGGTCCTTCATCTCATCAGAAGGAATGTGAGCAGACAAGCTACCTAATCAAAGGAGGAAAGTAAAGGGCAATCTTGGTGATAGAGACTCTTCTCAATGACAAGCTGTCCTGGATGAACAACCCAGGGCCAGGGAAGGGTCTAAGGGCCCCCCGCCAAATATAGTCCCTTATCCCTGAGAGGAAGAAGAGGCACAAGGTGAATCTAGACTCCATTCCATCCCTATTCCTTGCCTTTACCATACAGAGTGGAGCTGTCTTGCTGGGATTCTCCCTCCATCTAGGCTGTTTGCCTCACAATAAAATCACAGAAAGCAGCAAGTGTACAGACATTTGGAGTCAAACTGACAGCAGGATAGACAACTGGGTTGTTTCTTTTTCTGAAATATAAGAGAGAAAAGCCCAAAGGAGCCAAAGACAATGACAGAGCAGTGAATTACTAGTCAGTCAGTCACCAGCCTGGGCTGAGCGCACACTCTGGGCTAAGGAGGAGAGCGTACAGAAAGCACACCCAGGCACAGAACCTGCTGAACCTTTACTTGATACCTTGAGAGAGGCCTAGTCTATAAGATCCCTTGATGGAAAACAGACCCAGGGATCATCCCAGCCTTAGATTGCTCTGTCAGTTACCTGAAGCCCTTGGGGTTATTTTTGTTACTCTGTCTATAATCCACCTCTGTAGGGAGGCAGCCTGGGTCCTACCCCCCACCCCAAGCTTTAGAGCTAAGATGATATGAAGAAGCCAAAGGTTGGCAGATTTAAAGGGGGCAATCAGTCCACAGGTATGTGCCAGGCAATGTGCTAAGTGATGAGGCTACAAAGAAGGGCAAAAACACTTACTGCCCTCAAGGAGCTCACATTCTAGCTGGAGAGACAACGTGCAAACAACTGTGTACAGAGAGAGTCCTATGGAAGATAACCCCAGAGACAAGGAACTAGCAATGGGGAGAACCGGGAAAACGGAAGGTGGGACTTAAGCTGAGTCTTATGGAGAGTCAGGAAGGCCAAGCGGTGAGATGAGGGAACAGGATGTTCAGGCATAAGGAACAGCCAGTCCAAGGCATGGAATCCAGGGAAGGAGCATCCTGTGGGAGGAATGGCAGACGTGAAGGTAGAGGTCACTGGATTGTAACATATATAGAAATGAGAAAAGTGTTAAGAAAACTGGAAAGCAAGGAAGGGACCAGGTTATGAAGGACTTTAAAAGCCAAAGTGAAGATTTTTCTTTATTTGCTTCTAAAAGTAATGGGCAGAAGTGAACGTGAGAGAGTGAGAGTGAGAGAGAGAGAGAGAGAGAGAGAGAGAGAGAGAGAGAGAGAGAGAGAGAGACTAAGGGGAGCCTGGGCATTCTTTCTCTTCAATTAGATAGAACTGAGAGGCCTAGGTAGAACAGAAATCCCCTCTCCCTCACTTGCAGAAAAGTCAATTGATTCTGGCATTTTCTCCATCTTACAAAGCCTCCAAGCTCTCTTTTCCGTTATATATACATGCTGTGACTGAATCAGAGAAAGCCCTGAGGTGCCTGGGGCTCCTTTGGTGGCATTAGGAAATTAAAAAGCACCAACCCCTGAAACTCCCAGATCCAAGGAATCTTAGAGCTGGAAGGAGCCTCAGAAGTCATGGGGTCCAATTTGCTGCCCCACACAGGGATCTCCTCCACAACAGCCCTGGCTACTGGGTCGATCACATGCAGTATGCTCCCTGTCAGCCCATCTCCCTGGGTTGTCATCAAATTGATGACTCAATTTGATCAATTTCAATTAATCTCTAATTCTGAAAGGAGTTCTTCTGTTTTTTTCCCCTTGTAACCCAGGATCTCTTCTCCCAGAAATGATAACATGCATGCAAAAACATTGGTGTGTATGCACATGTGCACACACACACACATACACACATACATGCACACACCCCCACCCCCACTCCCAGTAATCTGTGGTCACTTTGCTAAACCATTCCCAACTCTGTCTCACCCACACCAACCTGCCTTCTCCAGACTACCCTCTAAGTTTACCTATCTTCTGTCTTCTCATTCACTCACCCACCAAGCCAGGTACCTCCTAATGGCATATCGGTTCTGTTCAACTTAGAGAGAGACAGAGACAGCGTGACAGAAAGAGACAGACAGAGACAGACAGAGACGCAGAGACAGAGAGAAAGGCATGCAGACAGAGACAGAGACACAGAAAGAGGCAGAAAGAGATAGAGACAGAGAGAACTGAGTCAGATTAAAATGTAATTGGGAAATATTCAACAAAATAAATAAAAATATAATAAAATGCAGATAATATTACATTTTAAAACAAATCCAATATGTAACTCAGAGGAATACTTCTATACGGGTTAGTGACCCTTTTTCTATTTGAATCTGATATCATGGATATAATGAAAAGTGTGTTGTACCAGAAGTCTGGTAGGCTAGAATTCTGGTCCCAGATCTACAAGCTTCAATGGTGTGTGCAGGTAAATATTTAACAACTTTGGCTTTCTGTGGGAAAAAAAAAGAGTACAGACACTTTTAAGTTTAATCTGCATGTTAACATGCACTTTCTAAAGTCTAGAAACTTAACACAACAATAAATCAAGCCAAGCCCTGCCTTGAAACATTTGCTGATTTCTGAGTTGTAAATGCTCACAATGAAAATTTAACAGTCAGCTCTCTTTAGTACATTCCTGCCTGCTTTGTAACTCTGGGACATGTAAGTCACAGATTTGATCACTTTCAGTTTCTTCGTGGACTATAATGAAGACATCAGGGGCTGATCTGCCAGCCTCTTCCCAGCTCTAGAATTCTGTGATTCTGTGTTACTCTGAAGAAGAGCTTTGGTTTCCTGTGACCCTATTATTGCATATGACATCGGACTTTGCTTAGTTGATTATAAGGAATGGCTCTCTGAAAGGGATAGGAGGCAAATACAACGGGGAATACAAATAATATAAAAACAAAAGATACTCATAACATTTTATTTTTTAAAAACTCCCACTTCTACCCAGAAAACAAGGTCTCCCAATCTCTCTGTGATGCTATTATTCCCCTGCAAAAAGGATGCTGCTTCCCAGAGATGTTTCTGGAAGCCAAGTTCATAGGTATGGTAATAACAGCCAGTAGTCAAGTAACTCTTAAAGGTTTGCAAAGCCCTTTACAAACATTATCTCATTTAAACTTCACTACAACCTTCAAACTAGCTGCTATTATTATCTTAATTTTACAGATGAGGAAACTGAGGCAGACAGAGGTTAAGTGACTTGCTCAGGGTCACACAGCTATTAAGTGACTGAGGTCACATTGAACTCAGGTCTTGCCAGATTCCTGGTCCATCATTCAATCCACTGAGCCACCCTACTGTAGTAGATAAGACTTTATGAAAAAGATGGCATAGAGAAGATTGAATGACTTTGCCTTCTATCCCCTACAAATCAGCTGACTGAATTCCATAGGCAGGGAACAGGAGAGAAGCACGTGGTCAGTAGTGCCAAGTTGTTAGGTTGGGAAGGAAGGAAGGAAGAAAGAAAAGAATGACTATAAGAAGACCAAAAAGGTGGCTGGTCATCTAGCATATGAATGCCAGGAGGGACAGGACATACCTCCTGATCTGGAAGACCCTCCTGTTTACTTTGCTCACGTAAATCTCAGAGGAATTTAAAAAAAAAATAGGATCTCCCAAGCACTGGGCTAGGCTCTAGGAATACAGACACAAAAGGAGAACAGTCAAATGAGGTAACAAATGTAAAAACCTTAAAATTCTGTACAAATGTCAGCTCTGCCTGTTACTTAAGGTTACAGATCCACTCTGATTACTCTGTGAAAAGGCCAGGGTGGAAATTCCTACCTGTCAGTTACACCATTAAAATCCTAAATAAAGAAAGGGTCTTTGGTCTCCAGTGAGCCTCGGGCCAAACACTACCCTGGAAGGCAGTGTCCTGGAACACCACAGCCTGAAGTTATGAATCCTGCTAATGTTCTGAGCAGCCAGTCTGCCCATTGGCATAAGCTTCTAGACAGCCCTGGACATCAAATCCCCCTTTATTGGAAGCCAGCCCTTGGCAGAAAACCTAGTAGTCCTGACTTCCCACCTGGAGGATCATCAAGAATGGACAGTAAATCAATGGAAAATGAAACACTGGCTCCTCCCTAGGACAGCTGGGTAGAGAGTCAGTCCAGATAAAATGCTGAGCTAGAAAAGGAGGCCCCAGGAAAAACAAAGTGGCAGCATGGACAGACAGCTGGTCCCGAGGCATCCAAGGCATGAGAGGTGCTGCCCTGAAGGGATATCAGGCCTGGGTGTTGTGAAACTATTCCACAGTCTGAACTCTCTTTGCTTCTTAGACTTCTTCCCTTCAGTTGCTCTTCCAGAAGAGCAACTCAAAGGAAGAAGTCTAATAACAGTAATAATGATAATGGTGATAGCATTTCTATAGCACCTACGATGTACCAAGCATTATGCTAAGTACTTTACAAATATTATCTAATTTCATTCTCACAACAATCCTAGGAGGTAGGTGCTACTTGAAGGGAAGGGAGAACATGCTAGGCTAGATAGATAGATAGATAGATAGATAGATAGATAGATAGATAGATAGATAGATATACACACACAGTTATATAGAGTTTTACATATAGTTGTAGTTATATAGAGAGTTATAGTTATATATAATATGCAATATGCTACATATAATAGATAATAGATATATAATATAGCTATAACACATATAGTTATATATAATAATTATACAATGTAGGATATGATTATATAACAATATATAGTTATATATAATTATATATAATATAATATATATAGTAATATAATAATATATAATGACTATATATGTTATGTATAATAACTAGGTGCTTACTACCAAAAGAGTCTGTCTGTCATCCCTCCCTCACATATCCAACCTCTGACATTAGCATATTGACTAATGTCAAAATTACCTGGTTAATGTCCATCACCTTGAGATCCCTGTCTCTGAAACCCTTTGTATTTTTTTTTCACTTTCAGCTGTGCTCTTCCCTTCTGCTCATCGGTCTAAGAGATCGTCTTCAGGCCCTGCCAATCCAGTGCTGCAGAACTCCCTAGAGGAGGTAGAGCTACTCTATGAGGTAGGCTATGGACCCCAGGCCCTCAGAGGACACTGCCCTTTTGGCAAGGAGGCAACAGCAGTGATCTAAGCTCTGGAAACTCTCCCTAAAGTGCAACAGGAAGGAGAGCCAAGAGAAGAATTTAAACAATTACCACAACAATGGAAAGGAAAACAATATTAAAATATATCAACATTCAGATCAATGAAATGATCAGTCTTGACTCTCAGGGACTGAAGACAAACAAGTCTCCCTCCTCTCAGTAGAAGGCAGCAGATAACTTGTGCACGAGATTAGACATGATCAACGCAGACATTTGTTTGGCTTATCTGTATTTCTTTGTCATAAGGGAAGGCCCTTTATGGGGAAGAGCAGTTATTGGGAAATGATACCGTTTTAAAACGATAAGAAAAACTCTCAATAAAACATTTTGTAATAAAAATTCTGCCTGGTACCTTAACATTGAACTTGAAACAACAACAACAACAACAACAAAAACAGAGTTCTAATCCTTATTGTCAGTTGTATGGACCTTGGACAAATCATTTGATATCTCCAAGATTTCTGTCAGAAGTTAAGAGGACGAGGGAAACTGTAGCAGAGATGTGGAAAAAAGGCAGTTGTTTTGAGGAGGTTTTTGAGGCAATCAGGGTTAAGTGACTTGCCCAGAGTCACACAGCTAATAAGTATCTGAGGACAAATTTGAACTCAGGTCCTTCTGACTTCAGGGCCAGTGCTCTATCCAATGCATCATCTAGCTGTTCCTGAGAAGAGAAAGTTCAAGGATTACCTTCCCCCCTTCTCCCCAGAGCCTAGCACTTATTCAGTAAATGTTCAGTATGTGTTTGGTTGCTAATCGACTAAGGCTGTCGTTGATTTATTTTTAGGCCCAAATGAAATAATGTCCATAAAACATCTTGCAAACCTTAAGTCTGTTATAAATGTCAGCTGTTCCTACTGTTAACTGTTATTAGATAGGGATCCTGTATACTCAGCAGCAATATAGAATAAAGAGCAATGAAATGAGAGTCAAGGGACCAGGGTTCTAATTCTGCCTGGGCCACAAACTACCTACGTTAACTTGAGCAGATCACTTCTCACCTCTCTGTCCCTCCGTTGCTTCATCTGTAAAATTCTGGGATTGGATTAGAGTCTAAAGTCCCCTTTCCACCTCAAAAAATCCTGACTTTCTGAAAGACAAAGAGAAGTATGATGATGAGAATGATGAATGTTTAATAATGAGCTCAGCTATGTCTTCACCAATAACAGACTAAAACATTTTCCCCTATTTTACTTCTTGTACCAGTTTCTTCTAGCTGAACTTGAGATCAGCCAAGACCTAAAGATCTCCATCAAAGATGAGGAGCTCTCCTCCCTGCGGAAGGCCTCTGACTTCAACACCATCTGCAATGAAGTCATCCCCAAGAGCATCACAGACATTCGACGGCTGAGTGCTTACCTCTCTGAGCGGATTGGCATTCTCAAAAGGGAAGATTTTGAACGGACAGCACTAACCCTAGCCTATACGGCCTATAGAACAGCCCTGGCCCAAGGGTTCCAGAAAGACATATGGGCCCAGTCTCTCCTTAGCCTCTTCCAAGCTCTGAGACATGACTTGATGAGGTCTTCTGGGCCCAAGCATTTCCAGTGAGAGACACCTGGAACACTGAGGGGGAGGGAGAGATGTCAGCAACCCATGGCTTTTCCTAGCTTGTCACACAATAACCTAGAAGCACACTCTACTTGGAAAGAGAGGTAGCAATAAAAAAATAGGGAAAAAAATAACCCTGTCTTCCTTTACTCCAGACTATTTCCAACAAACATGTTGGCTTCAGGTCAAGATTCTACAGGCCAGTATTTTTAGGATACCTCCAAGGATAAAATGGCTCACCCTCAGTGGCATGTGGAAGATACAGACAAGGAAAACTATTCTAGACTGAGTACAAAGCAGGAGAAGGAGGCTGGACAAGTGGTGAGAAGAGGAATTGATCCCTCTTCTTTGGTGCTAATTAGCTGAAAAGTAAGATTAAAGGACCTCTTTTTCCACATTTTCATTGGTAGGAAATAGAGACATTAGAACAATAAACAATACGTTAATCTATTGATATGTTTCTCAACTTCTTCCACAAAAGCCACCAAATATATGCCAGATAAAACACCAGCACTTTTGAGGTCTGACCCTATCTAAGTCTGGACTAGAGCAAAATACAGTAACACCTTAATTTCTAGCATTACAAAGGAGGGAACTAGATACGTCAATTTTCCAGATAACTAAAAGATCCCGCTTCACCTGCCAAGTCTTTTATATTGAACCCTTTTCTATAGAAATCTTTCTTGAAAGTATTAAATACTTCCCTGCCTTCTTAAACAGAGAATCCTGAAAATAACTTAAATATTTTCTCTGATTCATTGTAGTTCATTATGATCATCAATTTTTGTACTGTATTCTGTAATGTGATAATCCCCTCTGGGGGCTATGAGGAATGCAGGGATATTTGCCCCTCCACTAAATGTTCCCAGGCTGCTGTGTTTTGCTAGTTTTGTGTTTGGCTTTTAAATTGTTCTGTCTCCTCCCTGACCATCAGGCTATCAGTTTTTACTTTTTTCCTATTATATCCTTTCCTCCCTGCCTGTTATTTCTAACTTTCTATGGGCCAGGAAATCATATAACTCACTCTGTCAGAATTGCATGCTGAGTAAGTCAGTCAATTTTCTGAGTAGGGACCTCCTTCAAGGACCTCTGTAAATAGCTATTTCAGCAGCAAAGCGATCCTTTCAGCTTACCTCCAAGTTCATTGCTATCTTTTAAAGGGTTGAAGTTGCTCCAATTCTGACCTCAAGATAAGCAGGACTTTGAGGCCTTGAATTTGGTTATCTCAAGTTCGACTCTAAGGACTGTGATTTGATAATGATAAAAGTCTGGTCTGGATTTCCATAAATCTTGGGATAAATGAAGCTTTGTATACCCAAGCCAAATAGCTTTTTCAGAGACATAGTAGTAGGCTGGCAGGAAGAAAGTACTCACCATCAAAAAATGCTACATATCTCTGCTCCAACCTCCACAGCTCTATCTTGCTCTGGCTCAGAAAAGCAACGTCAATACCTGTCTGTCTGTCTCTGTCTCTGTCCGTCTCTCTTTATCTCTCTGTCTGTCTCTCTCTGTCTCTATCTCTCTATCTTTGTGTCCCTTGTTATGCACCATTGTTCTTTCTGTTTTTCCTAGAGAAAATGGAACATCTCACAAGCTGAGATGCTTTCCTTCACTTTTCTCTTTCGATCTCTTTCCCTTTGATTTTTTGGGGGGATGAGAGGGAGGAGATATCTGTGTTCACACCTCTGGATGTCTATGCCTGACTCTGTTTATCTCAGTCAGCTCTGTTTTTGTCTCCCTAGATCTGTCTTCAAAGTCTCTTTCCTAATTAATATGATACTCTTTTTTCAGTGTGTTCTTGGGGGAATGGGAAGCAGTTAATTACTTCAAAATACCAAGATGCTCATGTCTGCATAGTTTTAGACTCTCCAGGGAAGCAATTAGGTATCTGTCCCATAGCTTATAGGGTAACTGCACTGTTTGCTCCTTTCCTAAGCAGCAGTGGCCCAAGCCCTGAGGAACTCTATCTAATGACCAGGTATTGAAAGAATGTTCTAGGCCTGCTCTTTCCAATACTCTACTCTGGAGCTGCATTTACCCACAAAGCAGCAGAACATTTCCAAGAATTATTCTCACCATAACTTATGATCAAACCAATCCATTACAGAGGCAGATACATCAATTTCATTCCATTCCACCCCATTCAGTAAGGATTTATTAATCACCTACATGCCAGGCACAGTGCATCCTAGACTCTGAGGACAAAGATTTCTAAATAGCTATCAATTAGGATACTATAGAGACAAATCTGACTGAATATTTTGACCACAAATTATGGTGCAAATGTATTGATATGACCTACCTATTCATTAACTGAAAATGTAAAACATATAATGTCCTTTCAAAGATTCAAAATTCCATGTGGCAGGCAATAATTGAAGATATATAGAGGGAAACGTTAAAAAAATAAAGCTCTTCTTGAAAGTAAGTTTTAGGTAATCAATTTTTATGCATTGAATTTGCTCAGATATAAGCCAAACCTTTTTTTTAAAACTCAGAAAAACCTCTGAAAGCCTCCCTTACCTCTACATACAAAATCAATATACACACTTTTCCCCTATCAAAAACCAGAATCCAATGAATACAGCAAAGCTAGCTGGCCCAAATATTATTAGCTTATTAGCTCCTTGCTCCGAACATTATGGTCACAATAAAATGGTCATTGGGTTGTGCCCATTTGGAATTTGCCATATACAGCAACATTTTTTGCCCCATTTCTACATAGTTCTCCTGGATAATTTTTACTAGGAAATTTTGAAAGCTAAGATATTCTAGAAGTCATCCTTATGCCATTCTCTAGGCACTCAACCAGTTGGTCAATAAGTTTTAAGAAACCTATGTGGAGGGGCAGCTAGGTGGCACAGCAGATAGAGCACCAGCCCTGGATTCAGGAAGAACTGAGTTCAAATCCGGCCTCAGACACATAACACTTACTAGCTGTGTGACCCTGGGCAAGTCACTTAGCCCCACTGCCTAGCCAAAAAAAAAAAAAGAGAGAGAGAGCAGTACAAGAAACCTATGTGGACAGAGCACCGTACTAGATACTGAGGAATCACAGTAATGTGTTCATTAACTTTCACTGCCATGCCCTCTCATCCATGATAGAGGAAAAGAGAATATGGAATTGGGGGTTCATTGTAGGAATGGGCTTCCATGTATAAGCTAGCCTAAGGTTAGCTTCCTTTAAAAAAAACAAAGACTGAAGAATTCTGAAAGGATCTCTAACTTCCCAATCCATCTGGATTTCCTATGTGTCTTACAAAATCAGACTGTGGAAATGATTTGCTTCTTCTGGAAATGAATAGAGCCCCAAAAGAGAACTCCTGACCTTGTTGTGTGACTCACCTTCCCATTTTTATTTAATAGCTTATCATATATAATGTAATAAAGATGCTGTTCCATGTGCTCCAGACTGACAAATCTCTCTGGTCTGTTTTCTCAGGTTATTTTACTGAGAAATTTAAAGTGCTTTAAAAGTTTAATAACACATGCTGACTCCAGCAGCTGCTTTGGGATCTTGGCACATGGCAGCCCGAGACCCAGATATTTGTTATTTTATTACCCAGTCTTTTCAATGTTGGCAGCCAAAACATGTCACATACTTCATGGCCCAAGTTGAGTCTTAAAAGCCAGGATAGAAATAAGGCCAAAATGTCAGTCAGTCGATCAATAAATATTTATTAACTGAATAGTAGGTACCAGGCACCATGCTTAGCTCTAGGGATGTTCAGAAAGGTAAAAGAGAGACCCTGCTCTCAAGGAACTCACAGTTTAATGGGGGATTCAATCTGCAAACAATTAGGTGTAAATAAACTATCTACAGGACGAATTGGAAACAGTCCACAGGGACGGCACCAGAGCTGAGGAGGGTCAGAATAAGCTTCGTGGAGAAGGTTAACTGGAACTTGAAAGAAGCCAGGGGGAGAGATGAGTAGGAAGAAAATTCTAGGCACAGTGAAAATTCCTGGAGTTATGAGATGGAACGTTTTGTTTAAGGAAGAGCAAAAAGGCCAGTGTCCCTGAATCATAAAGTATGTACGTGGAGGGGAATAATATGTAAGAAGCCTGGAAAGGTAGAAAGGGGCCAGGATATGAATAACTTTGAAAGTCAGAGAATTTTCTGCTTGATCCTACTAGGGAACCCCTGGAGTTTATTGAATAGGAGGCTGAAGTAGTTAGAGCTGTGCTTTAGGAAGATCAGGTCGACAGCTGGGTAAAGGATGGACTGGACCGGGGAGAGATTTGAGGTAGGAAGACCAACTGGCAGGATATTGCACTGGTCCAGGATGAGGTCCTGTACCAAGGTGATAGCAGTGACAGAGGAAAGAAAGGAGCATGTGCTGGAGCTGTTACGAAGGTAGAATCAACAGGCCTTGGCAATAGATATAGGGGGCTGAGAGTAAAGAGTTGAGGATCAAACTGACATGAAAGCTGGGTAACTTGTAGGATGGTGATACCCTCAACAGTAATAGAAATGTTAGGAAAAGGGGAGGATTTGAGAGAAAGATAATGAATTGAATTTTGGGCATGTTGATTTAAGATGTCTATAGGACATCCAGTTTGAGATGTCCAATAGACAGAGACACAAGGCTGGAAGCCAGCAGAGAGGTTAGAGTTGGAGAAGTAAATTTGAGAATCATCAGAATAGAGATGATAATTGAATCCATGGGAGCCGATAAGATCACCAGGTTAAATAATATAGAAAGAGAATAGGACAGAAGGCCCAAGACAGAGCCCTATGGGATACCCATGGTTAGCTAGTATGACTTGGATCAAAATCCAGCAAAAGAGACTGAGGAAAGGTCAGAGAGGCAGAAGGAGAACCAGGAGAAAGTAGTTTCCCAAAAATCTAGAAAGAAGAGATTATCAATAAGAGGATAATTGACAACGTCAAAGACCACAGAGAGGTCAAGAAAGATGGGGATTGAGAAAAGACTATTAGATTTGGCAAAAGAGATCATTAGCAATTTTGGAGACAAAATTTTTGGTTAAATGATGTGATCCAAAGTCCGATTATAGAGAGTTAAGAAGGGATTGAAAAGAAAGGAAGTGCAGACACCCACTGTAGACAGCCTTCTCAAAGAGTTTAGCTGCAAAAGGGAGGAGAGATATTGGATGATGACTACTGGGAAAGGATGGATCAAGTGAGGGTGTTTTCAAGAATGGGGAAGACATGGGTAGATAGTAGGGAAGCAGCCAAAGGACAGGGAGAAATTGAAGATCAGTGAGAAAATGTGAATGATAGAGGCAACAATCTGCTGTAGAAGACAGAGTGGAATGGATCACTTGTGCACATAGAAGGGTTTGCCTTGGCAAGGAGAAGGGCCATTTCATTATCTAAACAGAGGTAAAGTAAAGAGGTAGTTGCAGAAGGCAACTAGGTGATATGAGATATGGAGGAGAAGAGTGGGAGCTCTTCACAAATGGCCTCAAAGTTTTGGGGGTTTTTTCAGTGCAATAGGAGAAATGTTGCCCAGGGCTCTGCCCTGTAGGCTGGGCTAGCTTTTCCTAAGGCCCTACTCCATGAAGATTTGGCTAGTTCTTTTCATTTAGAGGTCTTAAAACTCTCTGTAACAGTTGAAACTCTCCTTGATTGGCTAAGGGACCTGACTCAGATTGTTGACATGGGTTCCCGGTCACCTGAATTGAGAAGGCACAAGGAAGGCACCTCCTTTCTGAGGCTTTTTGACCACAAACAGTATGACCTACACCAAAGAGCTGTGTTCAACTGAATCAACATGGAATCCTCACTGCAACAAGAGATCTAGATTATGCCCTCATGGACCCTTCTTGCCCACAATGAGATTCTAAGGGGAGAGGGTAGGAAGTGTGACAAAGAGGAGCAGATTAGTGGATGGCAGGTATGTAGGCCATTATTTATACCTGATGTCAGTGGAGTACCTTAGACTTCTGGAAGCTGAGACATAGAGCCAATGACACTGAATGAGGCTGTCACTTCAGGATCAGTGGGGACGGACCATGGGACTACTGATTTTCCCCTCATCTTTTGTACCCTGACCTGCTGCCTTTCTTAAATCTCCCTTAAATCAACAAATTTTGCTATTATTTATGAACAGGATGGGAACTCTAAATAAGAGAAGTAATTCGTATTTGTTGTTGTTCAGTCATGTCCAACTCTTGACCCCATTTGGGGTTTTCTTGGCAAAGACACTGGAGTAGTTTGCCATTTCCTTGTCCAGCTCATTTTACAGATGAGACAAACAGGATTAAGTGACCTGCCCAGGGTCACACAGTTAGTAAGTATCTGAGACCATATTTAAATGCAGGAAGAGGAGTCTTTGTGACTCCAGAGCTGGCTGTCTATCCACTGCATCCAATTTACATTATACTACCTATCACCTCAAACAGGGATTCACTCACCACTTCATGACGAGGCATGGGGTGACAATAAATCTGACCTCAGTTTAATTACATGATTTATTTCTTATTCACCCTTAGACAGCCTTAAGGGCTTTCTCTAATGGTAACCAACAAGACAAGAGATATAAAAAGGTGGTAGTGTCTGCCTTTTCTCCAAAGGACTTGGAAGTAGGACCAGGGGGAGACAAGTTCCTAGGAAATACAAATATAAATATAAAAGAAAATTCAACTTCAATGTGATAAAAAATAATTAAGTGCCCACTATGTTCTAGGCACTGTGTTGGGTTCTGCAAATACTAAGGAAAAAAACAACTAAATAATCCCAGTCCTCAAAGGGCTTATGTTCTACTGAGAGGGGGGAGAAGAGAGACAGATACAAGAAGTTATAGTTAAATAAACACAAAACAGACACAAAATCATAGAGAACACTAACAACCTGGGAAATCAGGAACCACCTTTAATAATCATAATCATGATCATAACAACCACAATAACATTAAATAGTGCTTGGAGGTTTGTGAAGTCCCTTACCAATATTATCTCATTTATCCTCACAGCAACCTTGGGAGGCAGGTGTTCTTATTATCCCCATTTGATAGATGAGAAAACTGAGGCAAAGAGGTTAAGTAACTTGCCCAGGATCACACAGCTGTATCCTTGAAGGGAGCCAGGGATTCAAGAGGCAAAAGGGAGAAGGGGGAGCATTCAAAGGGGAGCACAGAGTCAGGAGATGGTGTATCGTGCACAGGGAATAGCTTGGCTAGATCATAGTTTGTGAAAGTTAGTGAAAATCAAGATGTATTGCTTTTCCCATACACGTTCAAGAGCCCCTTGAAATCCCATCTGCTGGTGGAAGTCTTGTAATGAATGGAGGATTGAATGAGTCCTCTTCCACACTCTTCGAGTAATTCTTTTTTCCTCCTCTTCCACCCACCTAGACTACCTCTACCCCATCCCTTTCCTTTCTTCAGCAGCTCCTTACCTGGATTCCTCTGTCTTCAAGATTAGGTAAAGAATTACTAGGAATGTTCTCAGCCTCCTTAACACATGGTCCTTCAACTGCTGACCACCACTCTAGCCAATGAGCCATAAAATGAATGAACTTACTTATTGCATGCTTCCTCTGTACCAGGCACTATGCTAGCTAATGTCTGGCGATATAGATACAAGGAAGCAAGCCAATCTTGACCCACAAGGAGCTTACATTCTAATGATGGAGATATCAAGACATCAAGGCAAGCTAGAAAGTAGGAGGGGAGTATGTGTGGGAAAGCACATCATATAAACATGACCTGGAGTGTCATGGTGGCCTGGGTATAGGCAAAATTAGGCAGAAGCTCCCCTCTCAAAGCCCAGACTCCCAGGGACAGAGTCTAGGATCGGATGGGAAAAAGACTAAGATAAAAGCCCAAAGGGAGAGTCAACATGGTTTGGAAACGTCTGGGAAGAGATCGCAGAATTTAGAACTGTCCAACCCCCTCATTTTACAAATGAGGAAACTGAGGCCCTGAGGATGAAGCAATTTGCCCAGTCACACACAAATAGTAAGCAGTAAGGCCATGATTTGAACACAAGTCCACTGACTTGCAAGGGATTTTATAATAGGGAATTCCTGCTGAATTACAATTTAGACTAGATGACCTCTGCCTCTATCCTTTTCTACCTGACTCATCTCTATAGGACTTTCTCTGTCATTCCTGAACGCCAACTACCTTTTCTCCTGATGCTACACACACACACACACACACACACACACACACACACACACACACACACACACACACACTTTCAGTTCCCTTTTATGTGTTGTCTTCTCCCTTTAGAATGTAAGCTCCATGGGGGCAGAGAATGTCTTTCTGCTTCTATTTGCGCTCCCAGTGTTAAGCACAGTGCCTAACACATAGTAAGATACATAGCACTTACACATAGTAAGTACTTAATAAATGCTTGTTAACTGACTGACTGACTGACTGATTGCCAACTCAGAGACAATGTGATCAATATGAACTACCTCTTCACTCCACTGCAGTATGAGTCCATCCAAATCTTGGGCCAGAAGGGATCTCCAAAGGCTAAGCTGCTAAAACCTAGTAGAGTCCACCATTCTTCACAAGAAGATTCTGAGAGCCTCACTAATGGGCTCTTTCATCCTGATATAAATTTCTTTTACTGCAAGGTCAGCCCAATTCCTCTGATGGGACCTTGGAAGACACATAGAGGAGACAGACAGCTGTCTTCTATGAAACAACTACTCACTGACCTGGAGAAAGTTGCAACTTTCTCAGAGTCCCAGAGGAAGTCTTTCTGACTTGCAGTAGGGCTGCATCATAACCCCCAAATCTCAGCTTCCAAAGTCTTTCACTGCTCCAGGCCATTAGTTTCCCCCAGGTCCTAGGCAACACACGCCTCACTGTGCCTGGCCCTGGGCTTTTAACACAACTTCCAAAGGACTCTGTTGCCTACAACTGGACTGAGGGACCTGTGATAGCTCCCAGGGAAAGTCCTAAGCCCATGCATTCAAACCAGAAAACAGTGTTCACTTAGAGAAGTGGCATTACGTTGAGGAGGAGGATTGTTATTTCTGCCCTTGGAATGTTACAAAAAGGTATTAAAAATAAGCTTTGCCAGTTGCTGCTATTTTCCAAAGTCAGCAGATACAGGGCCCTGCTGTGACCAATCAGAAGAAGGCTTGAGGAAGAAAAGTTAGGTCATTGTTTGAAACACCCTGATTGGCTTGGGGAGTTGGGGCAGGGCCACTATTCTCTTCCAGACTTTTTCATAGGTGGCTTTGAAGCAAAGGAGGGTCCCCCAATAGCTTTTTATCTCGCTCCAGAAAGGAATGTCTTCAGGGATTTGTCTGGGAGGCCCTGGCTCAGGAAGTAGGGAAAAGGTAAATTATAAGTAGGAAATCAATTTGAAGGGGAAGAATTTGAATCTAGCATGGTGGCAAGCCCTAGAAGAAAGAAAATCAGCCTTATCTGATGTCATCATCTTCCTCCATCCAGCTCTGGTCTTTCTCATTTGTTTGGTTACTTAAAGTGAAGGAGAAGATAGATTTCATAGAATCAAAGAGAGCAGAGGTAGCCGAGGGAGACTGGGCTCTCTGGAAATAACCATCAAGGGAAGTGACCAAGAGAAATCACAGGGTCCTCAGGCTTTCTTTAAAAATAATAATAATAATAATAATAATAATAATAATAAGCTCCCCTGTGATTCTCCTAGAGTCAGACTTAGAATTAACAAACAATTAAAAAAAAATTCCATGGAAGAAGACAATTGCCAAAATGCTGGGACCAAGTTATAGGATTGCCCATGCTAATTCACCCAAGCCAAAACAAAGACGGAAATCACTATGTCCCAGTTTGTAATCCTTGGCCAATTCCCTATTCCTGCTCATCAATCCCACCTAAAGCATTCAGGGGCATAGAGGCCTTGCTACCATTTCTAGGTGCTTTTTTGGTTTTTTTAATCAGGATAAAGGCAGAGTCACCACTAAACTCTGCTGCCTCAAAGGGGGTGCTACTTAAAAAGGGAGACAAGAAATATTTAAGGCTTGTTGGTGGTGCTGTTTATTTGGGGGGTTTTTTTGAACTGGAGAGGGGGAAGAAAGTCAGGGTTTTTGATAAGGGCAAAGTAAAGCTGAACAAAAGGAGGGGAGCAGGTAGGTCAACAAGAGGGCAAGGAGGAAGAGTGGACAATGGCCTTTCTGAAGGAATTGCTTAAAGTGAAGAATTTGCTGCTGGTCATCTTCATCCCACTTCTGCTGCTGCCTCTACCGATTCTACACCCCAATAGCGTAAGTATCTCATTTGTTTCCTCCCAATGTCTACATGAGCTACAACTGCATGGGGAATGGGAGAAGGGGTCACCATCTATCAGACGAAGGAAGGGTGGAGCCCTTTGGATGCTTCTGTAGCAATGAGACCCCAGTACTTGGACTTTTGACCATTCCTTTAAGGAATGACTGGTTTGCATTTAGGGGAGAATGCTAAAGAATTCCCCAACTTGAAATGGCCGTGCTTCTCACCATAGCCCTTTTGGTGTGCCTGTGCTACCACCAGTGAGGTCACAGAGACAGGTCAAAGAAAAGAGATGGTTTGAGACAAAGAGACAGAAAAAGCCATTCACTTCTATAAGACAGCATCTTCAGGGACAGGAAACAAGGACCTTTTACAAGTTGTGGAAATGGGTAATGATGCTCATCTGTAAAATGTGTGCTAAGATGAACTCGGAGGCTCGGTCCGGGGCTAGATCCCATAACTAATAATGAACTTATATTTGGTGGGAATTATCACGTGGCTGCCATGTGGCATAGTGAAACACATAGTGGTTCCAAAGTCAGAGAATCTAGGTTCAAATCCTACCTCTGAAGTTTTACTATTTGTGTGACCTTGGGCAAGTCACTTACCCACTCCTGGGACTCAGTTACCTCATCTGCAAGATGAGGGGACAGGACTAGATGGCTTCTAAGGTTCCTTCCAGCTTTAGCTGCATGATCCGAGAAGTGCTAGAGGCATAGGCTAGACAGACCAGGAGTTTGTAACTGCTTCTGTATCTTGGACCCCTTCAGCAGCCTATGGACTCATTCTCAAAATAACCAGGTTTTTAAAAATTCATAATTAAAGGAAATACTAAATTTCAGGTAGAGCTTAGTGAAAATAAAGATGGATTTTTTTTTCCCCATCCAAGTTCAATGAAATGTTTCCTTAGACCTCAGGTTAAGAACCATTGGCTAGGCCTTGTAATGAATGGTGCTTGATAGAGTGAAATGCTATGGAATAGTCATCTTGGTATCCAGAAAAGTATACCAGATTTGAAATCAGAGGCCCTGAATCCAAATCCCACACCAGCTACTTAACACCCTGGTAACCTTCAGCAAGTCATTTCATCTATCTGGGTTTCAGTTTCCTGCTTTTTAAAATAAAATGGTTAGAATAAGTGACTTCCAAGCTCCCTCCCAGCTCTAAATCTTATGATCTTGTATCTTGCTCTGACAATAAATGTCAAGATTTAGCTTTCAGGGACCAAACTCAGTTCCAGTAAAGTTTCTTGGGCCAGCAGGCCAGAGTTTGGGGATCCACTTCTCTGGCACTCAGGTCACAGTGGGCCCCAGAAAGCCAAACCTTCATTGGAATTCTTACTCCAGAGGATACTACAAAACAAAATTCCAGTGTGGCTTTTTGCCCTGATCTTAGGCACATGATTCGTCTGCTTATTTTTGTTCTTTGTGGATTTCCCCTCTGTGCTCTTGGAAGCAGAGAAACAAAATACGTGGACTAACTAATGACACATTCAAAAACAAAGAAGATCCCTAAGTCCCTAAAGCATGACCTTGACTTTCAGCGGGGTTCATGGAAACAGATCAGTCGGCATCCTCTGAGCAGAGACTGTTTTGGCTCCCCACATTGAGTTCCTCTCAGACTTACCACTTGCCTCTCCTCCCCCCCCCTTCTCCTGTCCTCTTCAAACACAGTCCTTAGTCCTATAGTCCTCAGTAAGCTATGACTTGATAAATTTCCATCAAACTGGTCCAACCCTTTGAGATACTGGATAAGGAGAGAAGGTGGAAAAAAACCAAAACCAAAAAAAAAATCATCTTCCCCTTAGCTATAATAAACTGGTCACTAAGATTAAGCCAAGAAAAAAAAAAGTTAAATAGAGGCGATTAGGATGGTTCCTCTTGGAAACAAGCTGGCTTAAATCTTTCAATGAATACACCCCTAGAGAGGTAGAGAGAAGCTGATTAAGGTTTGGCTGAGATTGTCTAGCCAAAGAGTGCTGCTCAAACTTTTCGAACCTCCACTCTCCCCACATCCCCTTGCCACCACCTGGTTTTCTATTTAATAATAATCCCCATTTAAATAGCTCTTGGAGGTTGAAAAAAATGCTTTCCCCACAACGACTCTGTGAAGCAGAGAGTGCAAATACTACTAACTCTATTTTGCCAATGAGGACATTGAAATTGTAAGAGACTAAATGACTTGCCCAGTATGTGCCTGCACAGCTAACGTCTGGTGTAGCACTTGAACCCCAGGGCTCCAGACTCCAAATCCACTCCTCTGTCCCCAGATGCCTCTCTTTAATCCAAATGCAGAGGAGGGGAATCTGTCAAGATGAAATTAAATTGTTGTTCAATCTTGTCCAACTCTTTGTGACCCCATATAAGGTTTTTTTGGTAGAGATACAGGAATGGTTTTCTATTTCCTTCTCCAGCTCATTTTTACAGATGAGGAACTGAGGCAAACAGAGTTAAGTGACTTGTCCAAGGTCACACAACTAGTAAATGTCTAAGGCTGGATTTGAACTCAGGGAAATGGGTCTTCCTGACTCTAGGCCCAGCACTCCATCCACTGTGCCACCTAGCTGCCCTAGGGCCTTTGGACCCTTTGCCAAGAAAACCCCAAATGGGTTCATAAAGAGTGGAACACAACTGAAACAACTGAACAAATGAAATTAAAGGGGGACCTATTAATAATCTCCTCAATTTGATGTGTCGGAGGTCACTAGAAACTTCTCTCCAGAAGAAATCATTCTCCTCTTCCAATACAACTTTACAGTTTCTTACATTTCTGTTCAAGGGAGCAGCCGTCATGAGAGATGGTGTGGTCTAATGGAAGAGAATTTAGATGTTGCTTTGATTCCAGCTCTGTACCTTAGTAGTTGTGAGATCTCAAGCAACTCACTTAACTTCTCCATATTTCAATTTTCTCACCTGTGAAACAAACATAATTATACTTTTGCTGTTTACCTCTTAGTACTACAGTAAGGATCAATTGAATATAAAGTCTATTATAAACTATAAAGGGCTCTGCAAATGTCAGCTATTAATATTATCAGTCAAAAGCACTCTAGGGCTGTGTTAGTCACCCCTCTTCATTCTTTTTTTTGGGGGGGGGGCAATGGGGTGAAGTGACTTGCCCAGGATCTGTGTAATCTGTGTGCTAGTGTTATGTGTCTGAGGTTGGATTTGAACTCGGGTCCTCCTGAATCCAGCGCCAGCGCTCTATCCACTGAGCCACCTCGCTGCCCCTCCCCTCTTCATTCTTTAGCTTCAACTTGTGATGTCGAATTTTTCTGTGACCTATAGCGAGAAAAGTCTTCCAGAAGCAAAATGTGACATATGGGGTGGGGGTAGTAGGCAGAGCTATAACTCACAATTTCATTTCCCAGAACATATTGCAGGGGAAAAAAACCCTCAAATTTGCTGTGCAATTTGTAATTTTAAAAATAATAGAGGAAAAAAAAAGAAAAAATAATAGAGGTAATTCAGTTAAATGGGAGTGGAAATTAGTTATGATAGCGGCTCACAGATGGGTGTTATTAACAATGCTCAGGGTCTGGTAATTACTATTTCAATTAATTATTCCGGGGAGAAGACAGAGAGAGAAAGTAGTGATACCCTCTAAATTTCAGCACCCTGAGGTAAGACATCAGTTGCTCAACCCTTGTTATGGCTCTGGATGTGGGAGATCATATGCACACTAAAGGCAAGAAGGCAGAGAGGCTTTGTCATTAGGCATTCATGTTCACTAGGACAATCAAAAGCAAGGAAAGGAAAGAAAGAGAAAGGAAAAAGATGGGAGAAGGAAAGAGCTAGGGAGAGGGAAAACAGAAGAGAAATGAAAGAGGAAAAGAGGATGATGAAGTAAGGTAGGGAAAAAATCCCTAGGGAATCTCTGTTTTGCCTGGTTTTCAGATTATGTGTGAGTTTTGGTGCTTGGCCTTCTGCTTCCCAGACTCTGGCTTATCGTCTCTTTTATCTCCTTTGGCTTTTTTTTTTCAACATTCACATTTTTAAATCTATATTTATTAGTTCTGAGAGAGGTTCTTTGGAGCCTTAATTCTTCCTTCAACCTGGACTGCACCTCAGGAAATAAAGACAGCATTAGTATTAAGGCTTACTCCTGGAAATCCCCAACTGGATTTGATTGCTTGACCTGCCTAAGTCCCCAGGGCACTGATATTGCTCCTGAGCCCAAGCACAGTGCTCTCAGGGGTGGCACTTGGGGCTGTTCCCAGAGACCTTCCCTTCATCTCTGACTCACAAGTACACAAGAGCTAGGAACCCAGAACCGAATTTTATGTGGAAAAGGGGGAGAGGAAGGGGGACTGACTGCATTCAGCTTAAGAGTTGTTGTCATTGTGGCTGAGTGATTGCAGTTGTGACTGACTCTATGGGACTCTGGTGTTTTCTTGGCAAAAATACTGGAGTGGTTTGCCATTTCCTTCTACAGCTCATTTTACAGATGAGGAAACTGAGGCCAACAGGGCTAAGTGACTTGCCCAGGATCACACAGCTAGAAGTGTCTAAGGCCAGATTTGAACTCAGGAAGATGAATCTTCCTGACTACAGGCCTGGCACTATATCTACTGTATCACCTAGTTGCCCCAGTGGAATATTATCGGTTTTTAAGAGAAGACAAAAATGGTATAGGGAAAGACTTACCTGAACTGGGGTAGAGTGAGGTAAGGAAAACTAAGAAAACAGTATACACAGTGACTTTGCTGCTGTCCAACTCTTCATGACCCCATCTGGGATTTTCTTGGCAAAGACACTGGAGTATTTTGCCATTTTCTTCTCCAGCTCATTTTATAGATAAAGAAACTGAGGCAAACAGGGTTAAGTGACTTGCCCAGGATCACACAGCTAGGTATCTGATGCTGGATTTGAACTCAGGTCCTCCTGACTCCAGGGCCAGAGCTGTATCTATTGCTACCTAGCTGCTCCCATGCAGCTTAAGAAACCTCCCCAAACTTCAGAAAAACCTGGAAAGACTTGTATGGACTGATGCTGAGTGAAGCGAGCAGAACCAAGAGAACACTGTACACAGTAACAGCCACATTGTGCAATGACTAACAATGATAGACTTAGCCCTTCTCAGCAATGCAAGGATCTAAGACATCTCCAAAAGTCTCATGATGGAAAATGCCATCCACATCCAGAGAAAGAACTATGGAGCTTGAATGCAGATCAAGCATACTATTGGCTATTTTGTTTTCTTCTGTTTTGTTTTGTTTCTTCTTTCTCATGGTTCCTCCCTTTGGTCCTAATGCTTCTTTACAACATGACTAATGTGAAAATATGTTTAATAGGAATGTATATGTAGGGCCTATATCAGATTGCACACCGTTGTGGGGAGGGAGCTTGGGAGGGACGGGGGGGGGGAAATGTGAAACTCAAAAGCTTATGGATGGGGACAGCTAGGTGGTGCAGTGGATAGAGCACTGGCTGAGTTCAAATCTGGCCTCAGATATATAACACTTACTAGCTGTATGACCCTGGGGAAGTCACTTAACTCCACTGCCTAGCCAAAAAACAAAACAAAACAAAACAGAACAAAAACCTTATGGAAGTGATTGTTGAAAACTAAAAATAAATTAATAAAAAAAGAAACCTCCCCGAAATAAATACATTAACCAAGTATTATGCATTTAACCCAAACACAATTTCAGAAGAGCCCCCTTTATTTTGCCAACAAATTGAGCCGTTTTGAAGTTGGGAGGCCCATTATCTAAAGAAGCATTTCAGATTCTCTGTGAATTTTGCTTCCTAGCTCTCTAAGAGCTTCCTCAGAATGATGTGATGGAAGGAATCCCATACTTAGAGCCAAAACACCATGGATAGAGTCTCCTTTTTACTACTTACTTTCTGTGTGACTTTGAGTAAATCACCTTCTCACCTTTATTAATCAATCAGTCAATCAATTAACATTTATTAAGTGCCTGTTGTGTGCCATGCACCATCCTAAGGGATACAAAAGAGGCAAAAGACAGCCCCTGCCCTCAAGGAGCTCACAATCCAATGAGGATAATGAGGTCTGCCCTGTCTAAATAAAAGAACTTTTTTTTAAAAAAAATGAAGTCTTGGGGCATCTAGGTGGCACAGTGGGTAAAGCTCTGGCCTTGGAATCAGGAGGACCTGAGTTCAAATCCGGCCTCAGACACTTGACACTTACTAGCTGTGTGACCCTGGGCAAGTCACTTAACCCCAATTGCCTCACCAAAAAGCAAAAATAAAAATAAAAAATAAAAAATGAAGTCTTGGATCTCATTGTCATAGGGAACTCCCAGTGAGTAAATTTCCTCTGCCCCTTCTGCTAAGCACTAACTATGCCCCTTAGTGGGGGTACTGAGGAAGTGAAATAACTTCTCCAAGGTCCCACTGCCAGTATGAGGGATTTGAACCCAGGTTATCTTGACTCTGAAGCTGGCTGGCTATCCACGGTGATAGCACCTTGACTCTCCAAAGAACTGTTATAAAGTTCAAATAAGGGAATGGGATGTGAAAGAGTTTTGTAAATTGCAAATCAGGTCTTATGACTATTTCAATTTGATAGTTATGAACATATATATATATATATATATAATATTCAATATACAAATACTAAACTCAGAAGAAAGCATAAACTTCTTAGAATATACGTGTTAATCATAATAATCAATCAAAAAGCATTTGAAGCACTTACGATGTACCGGGCACTGTGCTATGCACTAGTGCCTAGTATATGGTAAGTGCTCAATGATGGAGCAGCTAGGTGGTACAGTGGATAAAGCACCAGGCCTAGAGTCAGAAAGACTCATCTCCCAGAGTTCAAATATGGCCTCAGACACTTACTAGCTGTGGGACCCTAGGCGCACCCTATTTGCCTCAGTTTCCTCATCTTTAAAATGAGCTGGAGAAGGAAATGGCAAACCACTCCAGCATCTTTGCCAAAAAACAACAACCAAAAAAAACCCAATGGGGTCATGAAGAGTTAGACTCAACTCAGCAACCAAAGATTTTCTTTGAGACAGAGCGTCTGTGTGGAAGGTTGAATTTTCTTTGTTTTTTGTGTTTTGTTTTTGCTTTAAAGAAAGAGAAAAAGGTGAAACAGAATGTTAGTCTTCAGGGTCTTTGGGGCAACAAAGCATATTTCCATTAACAGTCTTGCTGGGATGATATTGTTTCCTAGGTAGAATCACATAATTTGAGAGTTGCAAAGGACCGCGGTGGCTACTCTAGTCCACTCCATACACCAAAGGAATCCCCACTCTAACATACCCAACAAGGCGCAGCCTGGGCTTGAACACCCCCAAGGCAGAGGGCGCCATGCTCTCCTGAGGCAGCCCATTGCACTCCTGTACAGCTGTAATTGATAGGAAGTTTTTACTGCCACTGAGACTGAATTCATCCCTTACAACTTCAGCCCGTCTGTTCCTGGGTCTGCCCTGGGTGGCCAAACAAAACCACATGACCCTCATGGATGTCATTCACCCAGATGGCATCCACATGTGTGGTACAGTGGCAAGACTTCTGGCTCGGGAGTCAATGGGTTCAAATCCCAGTTCTGCCACCTGTGTAGCCTTAGCCTGTCTGGACTCAGTTTCCTTATCTTAAAAATAAGAGGGCTGAACCTATATCAAATTGCTTATCATCTTAGGGAGTGGGGAGGGAAGGAGGGAGAAAATTTGTAACTCAAAATTTTATAAAAAATGGATGCTGAAAATTATCTTTATGTGTAAAAATAATATATATTAAATAAAATAATATAAATAATTATATAAAATAAATTAATTTGTGAATTTGTGAAATATTCTGCACCTCTCCAAAGATATGAATTTATATAATTATGTATGATATATGATAAAATTAAAGTAAAATAAACAATAAAAATCAAATAAAAATTTTAATAAAAATGAAATATTATTTAAAAAAAATAAGGGGCTGCACCGGACGACCTCTATGATCCCTTCCAGCTGTAACTCGATGATGCTATGAACTTGCTGGCTTGTAGTAAGCCTTCCTTTTTCCTGACCGGGTCTAGCTAAGCCTCTCAACAGTTTCAGGAGACAGGTAGAAGAAAGAAAAGGCACTCTGGTTTTGTTTGATGAGGCGTTCCAAGTGTGAGTGAGTGACCTACCGAGAGGAAGAACCCAGATGAAAACTCAGGCCATCCAACTGCTGGACTGTGCGTACGCACACAAATCAAATTTGATGATTTTTGATAGAATTGGCTGGTCTCCTAAATTTAAAATATTTAATTTAAAATTTAATTTAAAATATTTTTAAAAAATTTTAAACTCCGTTCAAATAATTAGTAGCGACTACCCAAATATCCATAAGAAGTGGCATATTTGTGAACAGAGCCTCAGGCCCCTTCCACATTCATAACCTGAGGCAATCTTGGCCCCAGTGCCTGGCTCTCTTGGTCTCTCAGGCCACTTACTCTCTGCGAATTCTTATAGGTGCTTTTCTGTCTCAGCTCCCAGTGCTCATACACTGTATTATTTTACTCCTGGATCTCAGAGAGTGAAGGGACCTCCAAGGTCATCTAGTTCCATCTATGCCTGAACAAGGATCTTCTGCATCAACCAACAAGTGGCCATTCAGCCTTTGCTTGAAGTCTTCCTGTGAGAAGGAACCTACTCTCCTTCGGCATAGCTCTCATTGTTAGGAAGTGTTTCCTGATGTCAAGGATAAATTTGCCTCCAAACAATTTCCACCCATTATTCCTAGGTCTGCCCTCTGAGACCAAGCAGATCTGCCAGTATCCTCCAAGATGCCAGCTTAGCAGAGGGCATTTGATGCCAATTTTCATAACATACAAAGACAAACTTGACACATAAGATCATAGGTCGGATGTCTGCTGGAAGCAGGGATACCCATAGCCTCCTCCCACCAAAGTGTGGACTGAGGGTAGATGCCCCTGACAAAAAGACCCTCCCCACCTACTACCAGAGCAGAGTCTTCTGCTGACTTCATGTGTCGCTTTGACAGCTTTCTATAATGGATCCCAAAACCAATTTTCAAACCTGGTGGGCCCAAGTGCTCACCCACTGCCTCAGCCTACCCTCTAGGTTGATCCTGGTTTCTAGGGCAGGGTTGGGAAGGGAGCAGTGAGTGATGTTTGCTACAACTAATCCCTCCATTTCCTCTCCTGCAGGAGGCTGCGTGTGCCTACGTCCTGATCGTGACAGCTGTGTACTGGGTGTCAGAAGCGGTCCCACTTGGCGCGGCGGCCCTTGTGCCTGCCTTTCTCTACCCTCTTTTTGGAGTCCTCCGATCTAGTGAGGTGAGATCACATTGCACCCTGCTTAAATATTTCAGGTGGAGGGAGAGGTCCAGAATATTTCACAAATAAAACATACCCAACTACCACTTGAGTAAAGGGTCTCTTTATACCCTGGGGGAAAAAAAGAATCCACAGCTTTATTCAGTTATTTATGAAGCATTTACTATATACAGAGCATGAGTGAATAGAAGTGCTCTCATGGACCTTACAATCTAGTAAACCTTCACACATGCCATCCTTTACACTTGAGGTGTTCTGCCTTTCTCTTCTTTAATGATCTCAAAGTGTTCAAAAAGGCTGCCTTTAGGGGCAGCTAGGTGGCTCAGTAGATGGAGCTCTGGCTTTGGACTCTGGAGGACCTGAGTTCAAATCTGACCTCAGACACTTGACACTAGTGTACAAGTCACTCAAACCCAATTGCTTCACCAAAAAGCCAAAAAAAAAAAAGAGAGAGAGAGAGAGAGAGGCTGCCATTCCTGAATGATTATACCCAAATCCAATTACCACTGTATTCTGTATCCATTCAGCACAAGCATACTTTATTTATACTATATGGCTTTGTGCTTAATGATGTGTTGCTACTGATTTTTTAAAATCTTTTTTCATGTGTCCATCTCACCTCCATTATAATGTAACCATCTCAGAAAAGTGCTCTTTCCTTTATGTTTCTCTACGGTACTAAGAACCCAAGAATCGAGGAGTAAATACTCATGGATCACTTGACTTTATGAAGTTTCCCAGAATGCTCACGTAGCATTGCAAATGACTCTACCGTATATCCCGTTTCCTTTCTCCTCCATCTTAGACTCAGTCAGCCTCAAATCATTGGCTTCTCCTCACTCAGTATCCTTAAACTGTCACCCTTTTCTCTTTTTGAGGCATTTTCCACCTTCTTTGACATAAATTGTCCAAGTTGGGTAAGTTTAAGCTTAGATACCTATGTTTAAATGTCAACCTAAGCCTACAGAAAGGAAAATGGAGTTGGATCCCAGAAGCAAAGAGAATGACACTTTTTGTTCAACAAATCCTACAATCACACAGAGACCTCAGAGGTCATCCACTCCAATCCATACCAGACCAAGATTCCACTCTGTGGAATCAGTGACAAAAGGTCATTTCGCTTTTTGTCTAAAGACCTCCGGTGAGACCCAATCCACTACCTCCCATTTCACTTTTTGATAGTTCTAACTTTGAGAAGCCTTTGCTTATGTCAAGCATCTGGAAATCTGAAACTCTGCAGCTTCAGCCCTTTCTTTCTAATCCTGCCCTTTGGGGCAGAGCAAAACATGTCAATTCTCACTATTTCACACGATAATCCTTAAGATACTTGAAGATAGCTATCATGCCCCCCACCCCAAACTTTTCCAGGGTAAATACTTTCATTTGCTTCAATCTCTTCTTAAAAGGTATGATCTCCAGGCTCTTCATTTTCCTAGTTCATAAATACCCTGGCACCTTTAACCTTTCCTGGATTTAAAACTTTGTAAGGGAAAGGGTGAGTGTCTTCTAAAGCAGTAGTGTCAAATTCAAAAAGAAACAGAGCTACTAACCAATACATAAGGATCCCTGAAGGCCACATAGTAACCTGGAAATCTATGTTTTACTGAAGTTTTATTTATTTGGTTAAATATGAACCAAATATATTTTAATCTGGTTCAGGCTTCACTCAGGAGTGTTTGGGCTTTGTTTGACAGCTCTGTTCTAAAAGGGCCTAAGAAAAAATTTGCTACTGGACCTCATCCTTCCATTCCATTCTTTTTCTTAAAAACTGTTAACTTAGAGGAAGAATTTTTAAAATAAGCCAACATTTAATTAAATACGTTAATTTTTTTAACCCATTGTAAATAGGACAGAGGCCAGACACATGTCCTAGGCTTACAGGAGAGATGGGGCCGTAGGGCTCTGAGGAAGTGGAATCTTCCAGGAAAAAGCAGCTAGGTCAGCTTCTGAATGCTGCAAGGGAGTTGCTAGGCAACAGTTCAACAAAGGACCAATGATCGTGAACAGTCAGGAAGGTCAACCCAATAAGAGATACAGGCAGAGCCTGTGGTGACATCACCATAAGGCAAGGTGGAGAGCTAGAGATGCTTAAAAGTAGAAGAGGAGAGCTATCTAGATGAAGTATAAAGGCTCCTTCTCTCCTTAGAAATGCTAAAATACTCATCTCTCTGGCGAGCATGTTGTGGGAAGAGGGCAGGAATCACAAAATAACCAGTACTGATTTCCCAGCAACTGGTAGACTGGTTAATTTGACTTTCACTTCGTTGGTTAATGCACAATGCCAATTAGACAAAGGACATCGGTTTAAACTTTGTATAAATAAGCTCGTTAACTTCACATGGTGAAACCAGTTCTACAACCATTATGCTCTTGAACTCTATCCTCCTAATGCTGAATGCATGACTTTGGAGAAAGCTTCTGCTCCAGTCAAATCAGCCCACGTGCTGTCTCAGTAGCAGTCTTTGTCTTTATCCACTCAATTCAACTCCACAAACTTTTATTATATGCAAGGCAGTCTGGTAGACAAAGACAAAAGGGAAAAACAGTTGCTGCTCACTATTTATTGTCTCCATTCCCACCTCTATACCTTTATCCGTGCCACCTCCACCCCTATTCAGAATACGTTCTTCCCAAGCCTATCAGAATCCATATCCTCCAACAGCACTCCAATCCCCCTCCTTGGCAATGAGTACCCTGTTCACCCCAACCAGAAATGACCTCTCCTTCTTCTGAAATCATCTATAATAACACTTCTGCCTGTACCACGATAACATGCCATATATTGTAAATATTTGTGTATATGCCTTTATCTCCCCAGCTTGTTGATAAGTGCATGAAAGGCAAGGGCCTACTGTTATAACTGTGTATCCCACTTGGAAGCTTTATTTATAATAGAAATACATTATATATTTCTCAATGTATTGCTCCATTCTATCCTCTGAGAAAACCACACAAATAGATAGTAGATAGACTATGTGTCTGTAACAACATGGAATTATAAGAATTGTCATGACAACAAATGTCAATAGTTTGTGTGAAAACTACCTAAAGGTTTTAGCTGTTGACTAAAAGCTCAATATGGGCCAACACTGACATATCAACCAAAAAAAGCTAACTCATTCTTAGAACACATTACAGAAAGTGCAGTGTCCATAAGAGCATAGAGACAGACATTGCAGAGTAGTAGATCAAAGATTAACCTCAGAACAAAGCTTCTTAACCTGAGGTCCACAGACTCCCAAGGAGACTATGGATGGCTTTCAGGGGATCTGTGAATTGGGGTGGGAAAAAAGAGTTCTTTATTTTTACTAACTTCTAACTGAAAGTTAGCATTTCCTTCCTTTTTTTTTTAAACAAACTTTACTTTGGCAAGGGGTCCACAGGCTTCACCAGACTGTCAAAGGCAGTGGGGAAAAAAGGCCTGGTTTCCAGTCCCAACTCTAACACAAACTGGTTCTGTGACCTTGGCAAATAACAACCTCCCTGTGCCCCAGACAATACCCTAAGATTCTAAGTTAGTGCATCGTTGCCTTCTAAATTTCCTTGCACAAGTATAGAAATAAGTCTGTATGATAAAGGCATCCAGAACAAGGGAGGCAATAGTCCCATTGTACTCTACATGTATTAGACCACTTCTAAAGCCACGTGTTCCTTTTCAGGTGCCACATTTTTATAGAGACATTTATTAACTGGAGCATGACAAAAGAAAGGCAATGAGAATGATCAAGGAGTCTTATAATGATGTATGGGGATTGGCTGAAGGAACTGGGCATGTTCAATCTAGGGGGAAAAAAAGTTTTTTAGAGATGGCTTTGGGAGATGGGGTGGAAAGCAGGGACATGATTACTGCCTTCAGACTTGCATGACGTCATTTGGAAGAGAGATTAGACATTCTATGTAGTTCCAAGGGGGCAGAATAAGGCTAGTGACATGAAGTTTACAGGAAGGTATACTTTGACTGAACTTATGTATATATGAGTGTATGCACGTATATGATTGCATCAATGTGAGAATTCTTTCCAAAGAAGAAGATTGTATTCATGCCTGCCCTTACTGTGTGACTCTAATCCAGGGGTGAGAAATCTGCAGCCTCAAGGCCACATGTGGCCTTCTAGGTCCTCAGGTGCGGCCCTTTGACTGAGTTCGAGTTTTACAGAACAAATCCTTTTAATAAGGGGATTTGTTCTGTGAAGTTTGGATTCAGTCAAAGGGCTGCGCTTGAGGACCTAGAGGACCACATGTCGCCTTGAGACTGCAGATTTCCCACCCCTGCTCTAATCCACATCTTCCCACTAGTCAGAATGGGGCCTTCCTCACCTTCTTTTAGTATCACAAAGATGCCAGTGAAGTCCAGGTACTATCCATCAATTATCTTTTGCTCTTACCATGTGACTAGCCCATCTTTTCTGCCCATACAGTTCCTTCATCCCATACTTATTACACTTCTCCTTCATAAGCCTTTGTTGTGGTCTGCTCCCACCCCAAACATGTGTCTCCATTATCTTCTCATTTTCAATTCATTAGAGCCTGTTGGGGGTTCCATGTGTTCATCGTCATACAACACCACCAGGACAGTATCAGTATGAAAAAGGTAGGCCTTTGTTTCACAGAAAAGCTCTAGGTTATTAAAGGAATTTTTCAGTCTCCCAAAGGCAATCCAGCTTTCTCTCCTCCTATTGAACTCTAAGCCCAGACAGCAATAACAACATCTTTTAGCACTTAGTATGTGCCAGGCACCGTGCGAAATGCTTCACAATTAGAATCTGATTTGATCCTCACGACAATCCCGGGAGGTAGGTGCTCTCAATATCCCCATCTAATATATAATAATAACAGCTAACATGCACATGGTGCTTACTATATGCTAGGTGCTTTGCTAAGCACTTTACAACGATCATTTCACTTGATCCTCTCTACAACCCTAGAAGTAGGGGCTATCATTATACTCATTTTACAGATTAAGAAACTGAGGCAAAGAGACGTTAAGTGACTTGCCCATG